ACCAGCTGTGTCCGGCATGCATGTCGGCGGTGCTTCAGGCGCACATGGTGCTGTCGGCTCCCGACACCGCCGCTGAGTTAATCGACATCGTTGAAACATACGCATGCTCGCAGCTCGACACGGAGAAGGAAGCCAAGGTGAGCCTCGCATTTTCTTTGACTCCTGGGATTCTGAATGCTGCTCTGAAAACAGAGTGGGCAAAAATAGTATCGACGGGGCATTGTCAGTTGGAAGTCAAAGGTAGGAACGATGCGCTTTACAGTGCATGCGTCTAAAATAATATGCTTCATAATTTTGTTTCCCTTCTCGTCTGACTCCGCCTCGTTTGACGTCCCTAGCCTCCTCCTGTTCCCGGAGTCATGCAGCTCATGCATCTCTTTTCGTACCTTCTCTTCTCGGCCTTTCTCAGTGCGACGCACTCGTGGAGCAATACGTGCCGCTGGTCATTGCTGAGATGGACAACGAGATCACCGTCGACAAAGTCTGTGTGCGGTTCCATATCTGCCCACCGAGCCCTGATGAGCCAAATCCAGCTGTTGATCTGACCCCAGCAACCCCAAAAGATATCCTGGCGTACACGATCCAGGAGGCCCTTCTGGGGGAGGCTGTATCTGACCCCGAGGACGTGGCAGGTGCAGCGGATGTGGTCGCGGAGGTAGCTGTTGTGGAGGATCAGCTGCATAACCGGGAGGACTGTGTGGCGTGTCTCATGATGGTGCGGGTGATCAAGAAGAAGCTCTCGGACCCCAAGATGCAGGTGATTTGCCCGAAAGCATGAGGGTTTTGAGAGTGCAGGAGGTTTTATTGAGGGAGATGGGTGGGTGGAGGTGGATCTGAAAGGAGCTAGAACTGCTGTGCAGTGTTTCTCTGGAGAAACTTCTTTCTGAGTTCTGTCTCTCTCCATGCTCACCAGGCACGCATCATGGACTTTGTTATTGGAAGGTGCAACAAGCTCTCCAATGAGAGCCTCACAGCTGAGGTAAGCCCACTGATTGAGTATGGTTTGCTTTTACTGCTGTAGTTTAGTCTCCGTGATCTTCTCTCTCCGGCCCATTGGTCCATCCCTTGTTATCAACTTGTACTCTTCCAACGTCATCGTGTTCCCCACAGTGCATTAGCGCAGCCCAGGACATCCTGCCGGTCATTTTCGAGGAGCTGCCCAAGGTGCTGGACCCCAAGAAGGTCTGCAAGAAGGCTGGCCTGTGTTCCCCGGTTCCCCCGGTTGAGGGTATGGTGGTTGCTGGTCACAGTGACGAGGATGCCAAGCTTCCGCTGCTGCTTCAGCTGCCTTCAGAAAAGAACTAGAGGAATGCGGATTTTGTGTAGGTGGTTAAAGAGTTGCTGGATTAAGTGAACTGGGAATTTCACCTCGGTTTTTGTGTACATACGAGTTGTCCTTGGTGAATGGAAGTGATACCGTACCCTGTTTTTCCCCAATGATGGTAACTTCTTTAGGTTCAATGAATAATTTCTGTATGGTTGGTACCGGTATTGATGCGGCGATGCTCTCACATCGGGGATGGAGGTCCCGCCAATTTGCTGCGTTCAAATCTTCAAAATGTCGCCTCGGCTCAATATGAGCAGATGTGTGGCCACAGATGTTTTCGTCTGACCTGCAAGAGCTACATCTTTGTTGGCACTGGCCAGGATCGGCCCTGGAAATATCTGCACACGCATCCTGACAGCCAAATATGGGTGGGCCGGGCAGACACCGAGTTCCAGGGCATCACGAAAAAGGTTGCAGACAGAATCAAGGGATGGAAACAAAAGTCAGTTGCGCTCGTCAGCTGCTGGCTTCCGTGATAACCTTGAAGTTTACCTTGGAATGATCACCTTGGAGTTCTCTTCTGATTGTGTCCGTCACGGTGGAATGTTGCTTACCTTTTGACCACCTTAGCCCGTTTGGTCTCCAGCCATTATTAAGCTACTGAGCCACGCGTAAGCTTATCGTTTCGATTTACATATAAAAGCAGTGCTCTGTTCGAAATGGTGGGAAAACCAGCAACCAAGACGGCGACGTCACCTGCGCGGCAGGTGAGACGGATAAAGCTAGCAGTTTGGTCACGAAAGTAGAGTCACGCACGTGCAAACGTAGTTGAAGTCATAGAATAGGAATGCGTGCCGAGGAAGTCTCTTAGTATGTCAATGGACATTAGTTGCTACTTGTTGAGGCGGAGTTCGCAAAAAATGGGGAATGCACCAGGAAAATGCTGCCCTTGGGAACTGTTGCTCCGATGGGATGATGACAGGTGTCTTGTTATTCAAATGCACTTAACAATGTCAGGGGACAGGAAGCAATGCTGCTCAGGCGGGAGTACTATGTAGAGGAAATGCAGCCTCTACGGCTGCACGAAGCTTTTTTCTACAATGACAAGTTTAACGAGAAAATGCAGCTCCTGTAAGGCTGCACGGCTTGTGTACGGCTGCACGAAGCGGTGCATGATGCACCGCGTTGTATGCAATCGGATCTAGCGTCGACTGCATTGCTACAGTCGCGACACAAAGTCTGCATCGTGTTTTGTTACACTTCTGAAAGAAAGGAACGTAGCCTTGTGGTCTTGAATTTTCCCCTTAATATCCTGTCCTGCCTCATGAATCCCCACAGAGGCCTCCAAGGCGTTCTGCCTCTCGTGCTCCTGCAAACGGAGCTGCTTCCGTCTCTCCTCCCTCCTCCGCTTCTGCACGTTCGCCTGCTTCCTCGTCAAAGAGAAAGCCGAGGAGACGGGTCGACAAGGACGAAAAGGCCCGCATGGAAGCTAACAAGAAGGCTTCTAAGTTGAGGAAAACGGCGGACGAGGAGGTGGACGAGGTGGAAGAGGTGGATGAGGTGGATGAGGTGGATGAAGAGGAGGAGACGGTGGTGAAAGGGAAGGGGAAGGCAAAAGCGAAGGAAGTGGAGGAGAAGGAAGAGGAGCAGGAGGAACAGGAGGGTGAGGGTGCGTCTGTGGAAGAGAAGGACGTGATTCCGAAGCAGGAGGCGAGCGCACGGTGGCCAGAGCGGTGCAAGGAGGTGAAGGGAGTCAAGCACTATTCCGCAGTAACCACGGACGGTCACCTGTACAAGCTCGGCGACGATGTTACTGTGCAGGTTTGCGTGACAGTGTCGAGCCTTGCAACCATGACATGTTCTTTGCCATCCTCTCATTTCTATTCACTTGCATAGCAGCAGAGTTTCTCAACGCGTGTTCAGGTTCTTCTGGCCTCTCAGCTCCTCCTGATCCGCCTTTGAGAGCTGCCTGACACCCGATCTGCCTTCAGAGTATCTCTAGAAAAATGCACGCTCCTATCCGACCCGAGTGTCTTATTTGAGGGTAGCGCGAAACCAAGGACCCGAAATCAGCTGATACGGTACAGGAAGTTATCAGGCCTGCCAAGGGAGAGGTTTTGTTATTTTAGTCAAGTCAACTCACAGCAGTATTTTTCCATCCAACCTGTGTGCTGTTTTGGTGGCAGGGCGAGCCTAATTGTCCGGACTTCATGGGTACGATCAAAGAGATATTCAAGCCCGCCAAGGGGGAAGTGTCATGCTTGTTGCGCTGGTACTTCCGGTACAGCGACACGGTGAGAGCTCTCATGCTAATTCTGCTGCAATGTGAGTGTGCTGACTGTCAGCATGCTGACTGCCAATGTTTCTTTCAGCTCCCAGACATGTTAAACAAATTCTCCTAGTCCCTTCCTTCTCAACTAAAATATTGATAGCAACTTTGGGGGTCGACATCATGGATCCGCGTGTGTTCTTCTGCTCTTTTTCAAACTTTCCCCATTTCCGCCCCACCCGTGTCCCCAATAGCCCTTTCCCCCTTACCCGTTCCCTTAACTCTGCACTCCCTCCTACCAGGCTATGGGGGGGGCATTGGGGGACGGCATGTGGATCTGCGCTTGTGCTTCTGCTATTCTTGATTCTTTACCCATTTCCGCCCCACACGTGTCCCCCATGGCCCTTTCCACCTTACCCGTTCCCTTCCTGCCACTATGCACTCCCTCCTACCAGGCGATGGGGTATTGGGGGACGGCATTGTGGATCCGCGCTTGTGCTTCTGGTCGCGGGTGACGGACGACAACCCTGCCAGTTGCATCACGGGGAGAGTGCGGGTCAATCGAATCAAGCCTCCGGTACGATGAACCTGGACATGCCATGCCTAGGGTGCTGTGGGGTACCCAGAAGCTTCGGAACTCACTGCGTGCACTGCGGTTAGCTTGCTTTCACCTCCGCCCTCTTTCTTCCAGTGCAGCCTGGGGTTGGAGACACCAGCGTGGCATCGCACCATGTACTGTCTATTACTACCACATGAGCTAACTTATGAGGCGCATAAAAAATGCTTTCACCTCTTCCCTCTTTCTTCCAGTGCAGCCTGCGGTTGGAGACACCAGCGTGGCATTTCACCATGTGCTGTCTGTCTACTACCACATGTGTTCTCAAGTTTCCCCCTGCAGCCTATGTTTCTGCTCTTCTTTGTCTCTGCGTCCACACATCAGTCGGGCCCCAAGGAGCCCTTGGACGTACCAGCAGGCACGGACTTTGTATATTGCCACATGCACTCCCATCGTTCCTACTTGACCCCTTCTTTCAAGCTCTCTCCTCTCCCTTGTGTCTCCGTGCTGCATCCACACAACAGTCCGGCCCCCAGGAGCCGTTGGACGTACCAGCAGGCACGGACTTCGTGTACTACCACATGTACTCGTACGACTTTGCCTCCTTCTCCGACATTCCCGACGACGAGTGTAAGAGCGACGACTCTGTGTTGCCTTCTGTGAGTCAAAGCGTCAGCCACCTGTAGGGCTATGACTATGCCGGCTGGCATCGGCTTACAACTCCTCCTAGGCCCCGTGTGTGCTGCCTTGCCTTATTCTGTTGCTGCACGTAGCATGTGGTAGAGTGTTTCTTGGTTGTCTTCTCAAAGTATTGTGGTTCATCCAATAGAGTGAATCCAGTAGTCTGTGCTGGTGTCGTGCTAGATAATAGTGTTGTCTTCATACGTGTGACGCTCGACCTCAAGGTGTCACTCCTCCTCCTCCTCCTCCTCCTCCTCCTCCTCCTCCTCCTCCTCCTCCTCCTCCTCCTCCTCCTCCTCCTCCTCCTCCTCCTCCTCCTCCTCCTCCTCCTCCTCCTCCTCTCCTCCTCCTTCCCACTCTCCTCCCCTCCCACTCCCCCTCCGACTCCCCACAGGCGAGCAAAAGCTTGACTGTCTTCCAGACCCGCCGGCTGTTCACCCCGCTGGATTGAACGGGGCGAATGGAGGGGGAAAGGGCGAAATGAATGATGTGGAGAACGGGGTGAATGGGAAGGGAGAGGGTGAGAAACACGAGCAGGAGAGGAAGGCCGAGTGCAATGGAACGCACGGGGAAGATGGAGGAGAAAAGGCATTGCAGAGCAAGGAGGAGGGCGCTATAGGGAACGATAAGAATGACCTGGGAGATGAGTGTGTCAATGGGAAGTCAGAAGGCACAGCGGTGGATGCTGTAAAGGTGGAGAGTGGTAGCGCAGTGGAGGGTGTGAGTGGGGAAGGCGACAGTCACAAGAAGGGCGAGGAAGGGAGTGGGGAAAATGGAAAGGGAGCGGAAGGGAAGGGAGCGGTTGGGAAGGGAGAGGAAGTGAATGGGGCAGATGCGAAGGTTGATGGTGCAGGTGAGAAGGGAGATGGTCAGGAGAAGGGTGAAGAGGGGAGGGGAGAAAATGGGAAGGGCGAGAGTGGAATCAAAGAGGAAGAAAAAGGGGCGAGTGGGAAGGTTGAAGGCACAGTTGTAGGCGCTATGAAGGTGGAGAGTGGTGGGGCAATGGATGGTGTAGATGTGGTGGGAGATAGCTGCGAGGCGGTCAAAGAAGAAAAGGAAGAACATGGAAAGGGCGAGGAAGGGAAGGGAAAGGTTGAGAAGGGAGAGGAAGGGAAGGGAGAGGACGGGAGGAGGGAGGAAGACAACGGGGAGCATGAGAAGGCAGAGGGGGACGGAAAGGAGGACGAAGGAGCGGAGACAAACAAAGCTGCATCGGGCGGGAAAAAGGGTCGGCTGTCGGGAGGTGTGGCTCGGACTGCTGCCGCCCCTGCGACAGTGACTCTCCCGCCCCAGACCATGCGGCTGACGATGCTGGACATGTACAGCGGCTGTGGTGCCATGTCCACGGGGATTGAAATGGGCGGCACCCCCCGAGGCGTCACCATTGACACTGTGAGTTCTGAGTCGGTTCAAAAGCCTTGTGTGGTAGACCATGTGCCTGAGGATTGAGATGGCGGCACCCCCAGAGGCGTCACTATCAACACTGTAAGTTCTGACGCTCGTCAGAACGCCATACATTACATTTGCCCATCTTATGCTGTTACTGCCGTTGCTGCAGTCATTGCCATTACTACTGGTATCTTCAAAAGCACTTATCTAATGCTGTGACTGCCGGGACTGTGCTTGCTCCGTGTGATGCAGTGCTGGTCAGTGGACTTCAATGCTGCTGCATGCGAGAGCATGAGATACAACCACCCCCTCTGCCAGGTGCGTACAGCCATACACTCTGACAGGCACGTGCACCCGTTCCTTTAGCGGAAAGCATGTGGAAACCTTTTTGGGCGTCCCTTGAAACTCTGACCAGTTGGGTTCCCCCACATCCTTCTCTACAATGGAGGAGTTCTAAACCAGAGAGCCTTTACTCCATTGAATACTGCAGAGAGCCTTTATTGCTGCCTCCTCCCTCCTCCCACCTCATACCCAGGTGCGCCACCAGACTGCTGAGGAGTTCCTGGCGATCCTAAAAGAGCTGCCATTTCTGCCGCTCTAGTTCTGATGGGCCGCCAGAATTACTCCCTTTGCTCGCCCCTCCCTTCTCTCTCCTCCCTTATCTCCTCTCACTCAGGTGCGCAACGAGACTGCAGACGAGTTCCTGGCGATCCTAAAGAGCTACCATTTCTGCCGCTCTAGTTCTGATGGGCCGCCAGAATTACTTCCTTTGCTCGCCCCTCCCATCTCTCTCCTCTCTTATCTCCTCTCACTCAGGTGCGCAACGAGACTGCAGACGAGTTCCTGGCGATTCTGAAAGAGCTTCCGTCCCTGCTGGAGCGTTATGGTGTGAGCTCAGGCGGACCCGTTGGGTCGACAGCAGCTGCAGCTGCAGCAGCAGTGTTCACAAATGGGGATGGTGAGGCGGGCGGTAAGGCTGTTGCTCACAAGCACAAGGTCGTGCACCACTCTCACCACCAGCAGCAGGAAGGAGGTGAAGCGAAGGTGGAAAACGGCAAAGAGGTGGAAATGGGAGTTGCGGAAGAGATAGAGGAGATAGAAGAGGAGGTTGAGGCGAAAGGAAGGGGGAAGGGGAAGAGGAGGGCGTCAGCTGATGAGGGCGAGAATAGGAGGACCTCAGGCCGGAACAAGAGGCAGAAGAGCAACGGTGCTGCCAGCAAGGGCAGCTCTGGGACAACAAGGGGGAAGACGGAGGAGGAAGATGAGGAGAGCAGTGACGAGGAGATTGACGAGGGGGAGTTTGAGGTGGGGCGAATTGCCGGGGTGAGGTACATTGCTGCCACGGAGAAGGGACGTCCTGCTGGCATTTACTTCAAGGTGAGACGAGCTGTAAATGTGACCCTTGTTCTCTTTTGCCCCTATGCTTGACGGCTGTAAATGTCCTCAAATCCCGACTCCTTGTTCTCATATCCCCTATCCTTGCTTCGCTTATTATCCTCTCTGGTTCTTCCCCCTCCGTTTTAGTTTTGGGTAGTTAAATACAGGTGGATTATGAAAGGATATGCACATAGTGTTCTTGCCCTGTGCACCACACTTATTGTACGTTGTGTTGGGGATATTCGGTCTCATATCTGCAGGTTCAGTGGAAGGGGTACGGACCAGAGGAGGACACCTGGGAAGCAGAGATGAGCCTTGGGTGAGTGCTCTCTCCCACACCGGAACTTGTTGTGGTGCCAAACCACGCCCCAGGCCATGCTTTGCCTAACCAACCAACAGTGAGAAGCTCACATGCCCTAACCAGTTCAGCCTTATCTTGCTTTCTTTCTTTCGTGTTCAAGGAAAACCTGGAGTGAGCACCCTCAACCATTGCACAACATGACATGCCATGCCATGCCATGCCAACCAGTTAACAACAACAACATTGCAATGGCACTAACCATGGCAACACAATGCCATCTGCACATGCTCTCTCTGTTGCTTGTTGCTGCAGCTCATGCAAACCGGCTATCCGGGACTACCTGGTGGAGGTGAAGGAGAAGAAGCTGTTGCCTCTGCCGGTGAGTAAGAAGTGCATAGGTGTTACCTTGCCTCAGCTCTTGTTTCTTCTTTGCTACAGTACCCATGTAACCAGGCTATCCATGACCACTCCAAAGACTATCTGGTGGAGCTCAAGGAGATGAATCCATAGCTGGTACTGCTCCCGTAACCGGTACAAGGCGCATAGATGCTGGTAAGTTGCTTCGTGCTCTTGGTTCTTTGTAGCTGCAGCTCGTGCAAGCAGGCTGGGACCATCTGGTGGAGGTGAAGTAGAAGATGCTGCTCCATATGTTGGCGAATGGCGCACATCTGTTGATAGTGCTGCCTTAGATCCTGGTTGTGCTCGTGCAAGTGGGTTACTACCACCTTGCAGCGCATGCTTTTATGTTAGAAAACCAGCACCGGGGATTCTTGACTCATCCTAGACAAGGGTCACAGGCTCGATGGCCTGAGCGGTTATGTGCGCACTGATTCGCTAATTATCAAGCCCCTTTCTCCATGTGTGCACATTGCTGGCGCTGCCGCTGTTCCGTGTTCTAGGGCATCCTTGTAAGAAGGGGTGTCTGGAAGACCAGCATTGGGAATTCCCGATTGATCCTAGGGAAGGGTTACATGCTCGTTAGCCTGGGGGGTTATGAACGCACTGACCCACTATTTAACAAGTCCTTTATCCCAGTGGTCTAGTGGCTAAAATTCTGACATTTTTTTCCACCCACCCCAATCCCACAACAGGGTGATGTGGACATCATCTGTGGAGGCCCCCCTTGCCAGGGCGTGAGCGGGTTCAACCGGTTCAGGAACACGGAGGACCCTCTAGCCTGCGAGAAGAACCGGCAGCTGGTGGTGTTCATGGACCTGGTGGCGTGGCTGGCGCCCAAGTGGTTGCTCATGGAGAACGTGGTCGACCTCATGAAGTTCAAAGAGGGCATTCTGGCGAAATATGCCATTGCTCGCCTTGTTGCCATGGGGTACAAGGTGAGCTGGGATGAGGGGAGGGGAGGGGAGTGGGAGGGCACGTGTGAGGGGATGTCGCAGAAGGCTGTCTCGCCGAATACGCCATCGCCAGCCTACGCCATTGCCCGCCTCGTCGCCGTGGGGTACAAGGTGAGCTGGGATGGGGCGAGGGTCACATTTTGGATGTTATCATAGAAGGTTTGGGGGAGTTTGTCACAACACAAGCATCACCAACATCACCAAAAGCTCCACACCAACATGATTTTCGAGGCGCCTAAGAAACAATTGCATTTGTTTTTCTTCACCTCTCCCTCTCCCCCCCTCCCCCACCCTGCAGTCTCGCACAGGGATCATTGCCGCCGGGTGCTTCGGAGTCGCTCAGTTTCGCCTCCGTGCGTTCTTCTTCGGCGCCTTGAACGGCCATGTATGTAACCATTCATATTCTTGTGCGATTCAAATTCTTCTGCGATTTCTGTTGTTGAAATGCACTTTCTTTGCCCATTGTACCGAGGAAGGTGTAGCACACCCAACTCCTCGAAGCACGTCTCCCAAGGCAAATACTGGCACGCCTGACCGTCACTCCTCCCACACATGCTGTGTTAACCAAGCATCGCTTTTGCCATCATCTGATGCATGTGTGAAACTGTGCTCATCCCCATTCCCCGTGCATCCCATGCTCATCCCCCGCGACCTCTATTTCGGGCCTTCCCCCCATTCCCCGTGCCTTCCCTTGTTTTTCTGCCCCTCTCCCACTTTTCTCCCCCCTTCCCCCCTCCCCTCTTCTCGACCTTCACCATCTCAGGCGCTCCCAAGCTTTCCCTTACCCACGCATCTCGTCGCGAAGGAGAGAGGCTGCGTGCCCACCCGTTGGATGGTGAGTGATGGCTGGAATTGATGGTGAGTGTTGGCTGGAATTGATGGTGAGTGTTGGCTGGAATTGATGGTGAGTGATGGCTGGAATTGATGGTGAGTGTTGGCTGGAATTGATGGTGAGTGTTGGCTGGAATTGATGGTGAGTGTTGGCTGGAATTGATGGTGAGTGTTGGCTGGAATTGATGGTGAGTGATGGCTGGAATTGATGGTGAGTGATGGCTGGAATTGATGGTGAGTGTTGGCTGGAATTGATGGTGAGTGTTGGCTGGAATTGATGGTGAGTGATGGCTGGAATTGATGGTGAGTGATGGCTGGAATTGATGGTGAGTGTTGGCTGGAATTGATGGTGAGTGTTGGCTGGAATTGATGGTGAGTGTTGGCTGGAATTGAAGGTGAGTGATGGCTGGAATTGATGGTGAGTGTTGGCTGGAATTGATGGTGAGTGATGGCTGGAATTGATGGTGAGTGATGGCTGGAATTGATGGTGAGTGTTGGCTGGAATTGATGGTGAGTGTTGGCTGGAATTGATGGTGAGTGTTGGCTGGAATTGATGGTGAGTGTTGGCTGGAATTGATGGTGAGTGATGGCTGGAATTGATGGTGAGTGTTGGCTGGAATTGATGGTGAGTGATGGCTGGAATTGATGGTGAGTGTTGGCTGGAATTGATGGTGAGTGATGGTTGTAACTGATGGTGAGTGATGGTTGCGATTGCCTTGAGCTTTTAGAGAAGGCCCATTCTTGTTGGCATACATTCTTTGAAGGTAAAGCGAGTCTCATTTGGTCGTTTGTCTTTGTCTTTGTCGATGTTCATTCTTGTTTACAGAGGAACTTTGTTGGGTGGGAGGAGAAGTCTCCTGTGCTGAAGACGCTGAAGCCTGCACTCGTGCTCAAGGACGTGATATCTGATCTCCCACCGGTGACGAATGCCACAACGACCGATTTCATGGATTACACCAAACCACCCGCCAACAACTTCCAACGATTCATACGCCTCCCCAAAGCCGGTAAGCTGAGCTCGACCAGCATTGGCCTGTTTCGGAGGACGGGCAGTGTCAGTGACCAACTGAACAGCGTAGTCAAGGCGGAGGCTGGAGGCAAAGTCGGTAACAGCAGCAACAAGAGCCGAGACAGACGAAGGAGGAGCTATAGGGTGAGTGAGAAGGAGGAGAGAACATAAGAGA